CTCTCTACCCCAGACCTCCATTCTTCTTTCCCCTCTTTCCTCCTTTTCCAGGATATGACCTCTCTCTCTGTCTTTCCTCTCTCTCCATCAGTACCTCCTGTCTATGRTCATAGCTTATTTTAGCCGGGCTGGCCTCTTCTCCTGGCAGTACCAGAGAATCCACTTCTTTGTGGCCCTGTGAGTATTTGGTCTCCTTCATCAATCAGGATTCATTACTTGGGAGGGTAGAATGGGAGAAGAAGGGCATTAACCTATAGTTTATCTTTAGCCTCTTTGTCCTGTTTGCTCTTGGGACCCCCTGTTCTCCAGCTTACCCAAGACCCTCCTGTGTACAAGAAATTATAGCATTGTAGTATGGTTGTTTTTCACACTTCTCCTAGTCAAAATAAACACATGAGCTTCATTAAGGCCAGATTTAAAAAATTAAAGCAAACCAAAGGAAACATGAAGCTCACTTAAAAGGAGTGAAGGAAGCATTATGTTCCTGGCAGAGAGACTGAAGGTGCAGCCACATCTGACTGCTCTTCCTTCCTGTAACTACACCAACATTGTTGTCTTCTGCCTCTGGATTTCCAAGACAGATGCCCAATTCCCAGCCCGGCACAGGCACAGTGTAAAGTGCTCCCTTCTGGTCCTTCATACAGATGTCTTCTCACATTTTTGGCCTTGTACATACCTTCTGAAAATCCTTCCAAGATGGATCCAACCACCCCTTAGGCCTCTCCCACAACTGTGTCGCTCAATGCTTTCTAGAAAAAGGTTGGAGTCCTTCAGAAGGTCTGTGTCTGGCAGAGATCTCTGGACCAAGGTGTGGTCCTCCGTAACCCTTAATAGGGCTGGTGCAGTCCTGTCTGAAGATGGTCCTCTGGGAGTCCATTTTGGGAAGCTGACTCCAAGGGCAGGTCCTTCCTTTGTGCCTCTGAGGAACAACCTGGTTTCTTTCCCCAGCTACCTGGCGAGTGACTTGGAGGAGGACAACCAGGCTCCTAAACAAGACATCTTTCATTTCCTCTATGGGAAGAGCTACGCCCAGAGTCCCCTGTTCCACAAACTGCGCTATCAGTTCATCTGCTCCATGGGCTGGAACACTCGGGTTTCCAGGGAGGAGTGTGAGGAGGTGGGTGGTGCTGTGTGTGCTTGTGGAGGGAGAGGGATGGGCTGACTGGAGAGACACAGGAAGGTGGGTGRCTGCAGGTGGGATTGGAAGGGGAGTAACTCTGTAGGTTGTGCACAGAGGGAAGGACTTCCAGGCAGTCATCAGTTAGTTTGGTTGCGTTTTTTGTTTTTTTTGGTGTTTTTGTAGTAAACCAAATTTGTATCTCAATTTATTGTATGCAATCTAACAAAAAATTCATGGAAATTTACTAGGTATATATAAGTGATTCAAGTAATAAAAGAAAGTTCCATTTTAGGAAAATGAAGTTCATATCTTGAGGAAAAGTAAAGTACATTAAAAATGTAAAGCCAAATCCAATTTCTATGTATTAAGGGAACTATAGTTTAATAAAGCACATAAGTGATTTTTTAGATATATATCTTGGGTCTTTAGTATATATTTATGTATAGATAGATTTAACAATTGTAATCTATGGTTTATTTTAAAGGAAGTGGATAAATGAGATGAAGGAATTTTCATACTATACTAAAATTATTCACAAAGCAGAACATTTTATGGTGAAATACTTTTTCACTTATACAATTTTTGCACAATTAATTACTACTTTTGATCTAACTAAAATTACACTTTAATTATTTGTCTGGAACACTGAGATGTACTCTTTAGTTTTAAACAAAAATCATACCAAAACTACTGACCTGCCAACCTTATGGTTATGTTGAAACTATAAAAGGATTTCAATGATTAAAAATATATTTAACGGGGCTGGGGATGTGGCTCAAGCAGTAGCGCACTCGCCTGGCATGCATGTGGCCCAGGTTTGATCCTCAGCACCACATACAAACAAAGATGTTATGTCCACCGAAAACTAAAAATACATTTAACTATGTAACTAAGTTGTTTTGATATGGATCCAAGCATAAATATCACTAACCACTATTCCACTCAAATCAGAGACAATAATAAAGTTGTCTCTTGATAAAATCAACTTTTCAAGTTTGATTTAGATGGGACACCAAAATGATTTTATCTGTCAAAGCATCTTCACAAAATTTTCTAAACAGCTAGCATAATTTACTTATCTAATATAAAATAGGAAAGTTTATTCAATTTTTATTTGAAAGAAAGCTGAAAATATGATGTCCCACATCTTATATAATATGCTCCTGTGTTATCCATGTTAGTAATAAGTGAAATAATGTTGTGATATCCACATATAGCTACTTCATTTCTCACCAGGCTAAATAAATCTAATAGTTACACCTTGATATGTCATTTGCTTTGTAGCTGACAGAACCTAGTTAATAGAATCAAGCCTCTCAACATTATATTTGTTGAGATATTTGTAGACTGTTGAATCATGGTGACTAGAAAGTCCAAATCAAGGTGAAGTAATTTTAAGGAATGGGAAAATAAATTAACCATAACTTCAAAACCCTCAATATCCTGTAAAGTCATCAGCTTTGGTGGGGGCTCTTTTCCTTTCCAGATTCAAGCTTATGATCCAGAGCTCTGGGTGTGGGGCCGGGATCGCACCTCACTGCCTAGAAGTCCTGGTACCATGGAGGCCTCAGGGGAGGGACAAAATTCTGTATCCCTGGCCTGATGACAGGGTCACTTATTGTTTATTTAGGACACTCAAGGACCTAACTTCTTGATCCAGTCCTGTCCATCTCCCACCCACAGCCACCTCTGTAGAGGTGAAAAAGACTGAATCTCCAAGTCAGTTTCATGGTCTCAAACCCCAACCACATAGATGACCTCTTAGAGGTGTGCTGGGTGCTCTGAGGTTGCTCATCCAGACCTGAGAGAGAACAGTTTGTCACACAGGATGCGCTAGAAATCCTTAACCCAGACAATTTGGGCCCAAATGTCGGCGGGTGAAAGGTTGATCTTGGTCTAAAGTGAATGAATGTCCTTTAGCCATGAATATCTCACTCACCTGTAAATTGTCTTTTTTACCCTCTTCTTTTAATTCATCTTGGGTCATACATTCCTTAAGAATATGAAGCATGGAGATGATTTATTCATAGGACTGTCATAGTTTTAGTACATATGATTAATGTTGCTTATTTTATCTATGTTTATTTTAAATAGTTTTGAGATAGATGGTGTTTGGAAAATTGTTATTTCTTATTAGTTTTGTGATTAGTGTTATAACCGTTTATGTACATAATTATTTCTCTGAAGTTTTTAATCTATTTTATCTGTTACTTTTATATCTCAGTGGCATTACCCCATAGTCTTATAAAGTTTCATTTGATATTCAATCATCATTATTGTGAATATTGAGCTGCTATTATTTAACTTGCCTTGACATGTTTTTCTGTCTTTTTAAAGTATGGATTGTAAAAGACCATATGTGCTATGTGAGTTTTTTCAGAGGGGCCTATGTTCTTTTGAAGAACATAGCTCAGTGCATTTGTAGGGAAACTGAATAAAGGTGAAAATCTTTCTACCTTAATGATACATATGATCATATTATTCTAGATTGTTTGTTGTCAAATGATACTGTGGTTTAACAGGGTTGTTTTTAATTAACCAAATTTCTTACCTGTGGAGAAAAACACCTCAATTATTTTTCATCTTGGAAAACAGAACTTTCTAACTAGAGTCTAGAAACAGGGAGGACATTGAGAGAGACAACACAGGAAGAGTGAAAGAAAATTCTAGGAGAGCTGTATAACAGCTAAATCCAAATCAAGAAGAGGCATCTCAACAGGAGATGCCTTCCTGGTAATGGTCCAAGGATGGGGGACACACAGGGAATGGTAGACTATGCTACTGGAATCACAATTTGAGTCTTTTCCACAATCTATTTCTAGTTTTACATAGCAGAAGGAAACCCAAAGGGTCTTGTTGAAATAGAAACTGGTGAAGGGAAATGAAGGTACTAGGGCAAGTTGTGAGATGAATGAGATGATAGGAAGAGCTCAAGCTGGTAAATAAATAGGCACAGAGAGGAAAGAGCTAACAGTGTGGGCACTGAATGACTGCAGACAAGCATCTTGGGAGATGGGGAGCTTCAGAGAATACGGGAGCAGCTGTGGAAAGAAGCAGGTGAAGCAAATTATCAGTCAGAAGAAAAACAAAGCTAAAGAGAGGTGGCAACAGAGCCAGTAATGAGATGTGGTACAGGGTTGGAGAGGCAAATGGAGATGATGTGAAGAGGCTGGAAAGTACCTACATGCAATGAGCTTAAGGCTGGTTGAATGTGTTACAAGAGGGATGGTGGTTGGGTAAGTGGAGCAACTGAAGAGGTAAAAGTTCCATGAAGGGAAGTCATTAAAGACAGGTACCGTGGGCTGGGATTGCGGCTCAGAGGTAAAGTGCTTGCCTGGCACGCATGAGGCACTGGGTTTGATCTTCAGCACTACATAAAAATAAAATAAAGGTATTAAAAATAAATGTTCTTAATTTTTAAAAAAGCAAAAAACAAACAAACAAACAAAAAAGGGCACTGGGCAATGCAATTCCAATGCTGATCAATTACATAGAGGTCACATGCTACAAGTTGAGCCCACTGGCCCCCTCTACACTGCCCTGTCTTCAGAAACCAGCTATAAGCTCCAAGTTTTCCAGTCTACTTGCCCTTCTCACCAATGGCTGCAATTTCAGGGCTACCCTGATCCTATTGTATAATTCTCCATTACATCTAACTAAGCTTAGGAAAGCATAAATAAAAAGAAATGTGTCAAATAAAAAGAAACAGGTGTCAAATATAAATGGTTACTTTTCACCTTTCATGCTCACACACAAGATGGCTGACACAGTACCTATAACAACTGCCAGAGGACCATGAGGATGATCAAGTAACTGCTCAGCAGGATTCCATCAGCACATCTAGTTTCCCTTTATATGTGACATACAAAACTAGAATGCCAATCCACCTGCCCAGAAACAGGGGGGTGAGAAATGAAATCAAAGGAACTGTTTTATAAAACATGATACAAAGAAGTAAAGGGAGTTAATATTTCCCAAAATAAGGTAAGTCTGACTGTGGAATATAATTTTCATCAGTAAAAGATACACTGTCAACTAAAGAGTATGACTTTCTTTCCTCTCCCTCCCCCACTTTCTAGGCTTATATTATTGTTCTTCTTCAATGCCTGCTGAATCCATTTAAATCCCTTTCAGACCCTAAGCTAGCAAATAAAATGTCAGCCTGCTGGAAACTGCCCATCCTGACTCAGAAATGTGCAACTGGTAAACCAACAAACTATATGTTTGTTAAATTACTAATAAGAGAATTTGTACATCTGTGGATTAACCCAACCTATACACACTGAAACTGAATCAAGAGGAAAAGAACTAACGGAAATGCAAACATGTTCATGGTGAGCACTAATAAAACTCAAAAGGATAAGTCCTGTGGCCTTATAACTATGATTTTGTAACTCACTGCAGAACAATGAAAGATAGCACTGAACAACACGAAGTCATAATGACCGTGACCCATCCCTACAGATATTTTAGCAGAAGGCAGTGCACCACTTGGCAAGATTGCCCTATTAAAGATTCAAGCCCAGACCTTTAAGAAGTGAAAGCGGGGGTGGGGTTTGCAGAATTAAGCTCAGAGGTGGAGTGCTTGTGTTTTTCATCAGTTTTGTGCTACCAGGTCTCATGTCTACAAATAATTATAGGGAAATGATCTCTGAAAAACTGACCCTGAAATCTAGAAAGTTCCTAAAAGTAGCTCCTAACATTTCTTGTTTTGAAATCCCTTTCCCACTCAGAATCTACTTTTTCAGAACCATGATATTATTCCTTGCCCACACCCTTTGGGAGCGGACTTCATGCGCCAATGCCGCTTCCCACTGGTTCCACACTCCGGAACAACACATATATTGTGGAGTCTGTTACTCAAGACATTCTGCTACCAGGGTTCAAGAATGGCAACGAAGGGCATTATTTTCCAACTTTCGTCGTGCAGGGCAGGAGCTCTGCTCTCCCGCGTAGAGTGAAAACCACAAGTGCACGTGGATCGAAGAATTGGAGACCATGGATTCTGGTCGGCAATTATGGCCCGGCTCCCCTGTGCCAGGTCTCAGCGCCACACCCCGAGTGGTGCTGTTGATGTGACCATGGACACAGCCTCCCCTCTCCAGCCTCAGTTTGACATTTGCATAATGAGGACAGCAACCTCACCTAATGGCTTCACGGTGGTAAGGACTAAACAAGGGAACACAAGGGAAGCGCGGTGACAGCGTCAAAGTTCGGCAGGCTGGCGACTCTTATCACTGTCTCAGGTGACCCCGCTCCTACTCAGTGCGGACAGCACTCGCAGGAACTTCTTGAAGAACGGAGTGAAGACCAAGTAATCGCTGTAAAAGTCCCAGCGCTGGCCGAAGGGCACCGCATCGAGCCTCTCCTCACGCCACGCCACGCCACTCTGAGGCATTAGCACTCCACAGGAAAACCAGCTCGCAACTCCGCGCAGGCGCACTGCCGCCATGCAACTCCTCCCCCCACCACACCCCCCCCCCCGCCCCCTACGCCTGTGCAGGCCCCATGACCAGGTGGATAGTGTTCTTTAAAAAAGAAATTAAAGCCGGCTCTGAGACACATTCCTGTGATCTCACCGGCTTGGTAGGTTGAGAAAGAAGGATCCTGGGTTCAAAGCCAAGCCTTAGTACAGCGAGACGCTAAGCAACACAAAATAGGCCTGTGGATGTGTCAACAGTCCCTGAGTTCAATTCCCCAATACAAAAAGAAAAAAAGAAATCGAAATCTTTCAAAATGAACCATCCAGATCAAAGCATAGCTATTTAGAAGGCAAAGCACCCTCATGCCTTTTTTTTTTTTTCATGAGGAAAATGTTTCGGATATAGAAGAGTTTCCTGAAACCTAACGACTCACCAGGTCTCTTTAAAAGGGATAAAATCCTATGATATTCTATTTTTCCAAAAGTAAGACTTTTGGAAAAATGAAGATCTTTGATATTTCTGCTTTTCTTTTAGGTTAACTTCACTATTTGCAAGTTACAAGAAGCAGTCTAAAAGATTTGTTACTTCATCATTATATTCAAGGGGAAAAGCATCTTGAATCTTTCATTTTTTGAAATTAATTCATACTTTCCTCTATTTTTCCATTTAGTACTTCATTTTCTTTGATTAGAGTCAATCCTAATTTGGAAAAAATGATTATCTTTGCATTTAGCTTTTGCCATTCTTGCCTACTGAATTTGGATAGTTGATAATTGGTGTGAATATACTATGTATACAACCAGAGATATGAAAAATTGTGCTCTATATGTTGTAGGAATTGTAATGCATTCTGCTGTCATATATAAATTTAAAAATTACATTTAAAAAAAAAGAATTCTGTAATGTCCTGAGATCTTCAGTTCTCAGATCCTGAAGTTAACTTTGTTTCAGACAATTTCCTTATGAGAGACCCATTCATGTCACAGAAACCTTATTAGGAGAATAAATAGGTTTTATCTTTTCATTCTATTCTGGCAGCAGAGTCAAACGTGGCATTGGGTTGACTAAGACACCCTTTAAGTGCTGGAGGTGAAAGTAGGACAGAGACTTGGAGTGCTATTTTAGTATGTTATAGCTTGAATATGAGGTGTCTCCCAGAAGCTCTTGAGTTAAAGTAACAATGTTCACAGATGAAAAGATTAGATTGTGAGAGCTGTAATTTAATCAGTGGTTCAATTAACTTGATGGGTAATAATTTAAAAGGACTACTGTCCTATGTGTTAAGTATAGGCAGATGAGGCATGACTGGAGAAAATTGGGGGGCAGGGAGCGGTGACCTGCCTTTGGGTTTTATGTTTTGTTCCTGGCACCTTGCCCACTCTGCCTCCTGTGTGCAGTGAAGTAACACCACACCTTACCACCACTGATGTTCTGCATCACCTGGAGTAAAGAGTAATACAGTTGGGAGATCATGGACTAAGTAAGATCCCCTTAAATCATAAGCCCAAAATAAAATTTCCACCTCTAAGTTGTGTTTGTCAGACATTTTGGTTAGATGAAAAGTTAATAGGATTATTAAAAAAACTATCCTTGCTTTATCATTTAATGAGTGCTATGTTGCACCTAGCTTTTAAATTGCAGTTATAAAAGCAGCCATTACTTCAAACCTGAAAAACACCCAAAGAACCTATACCAAGATTGTACACTGTGCCTGGGCACAGTAGGACACACAGGTAATCTCAGTGAGTTAGGAGGCCAAGTCGAAGGATCTCAAGTTTGAGGTGGCCAGCCTCCGCAACTCAGTGAGGCCCTATGCAACTTAGACCCTTTTTAAAGAATTCAAAAATTTTTTAAAAAGGGAATGGAGATAGAGCTCAGTGGTAAAGCAGTGGTTTGAGTCCCGATACTGGAAATAGAAAAAAAAAAAAAAGAGTCTATACTATAACCCAGATTTTCCCCAGATGGGGGAAACCCATCCCAGAGTTCAGGTTCCCTGGA